TTTTTTTTTTTTTTGAGACAGGGTCTTATTATGCAGTGCAGGCTGGCCTTGAGCTCACTATGTAGGCCTGGTTGGCCTCAAACTCACAGCGATCCTCCTGCCTCAACCTCCTGAGTGCTGGGATTACAGGTGTGCAGCACCACTACACCTGATTTTTTTTTTCTTCAGTCAAACCAAATGTTGGTTGAAAAACCAACATTTAGAAGTTGTTCTCATTAGTCTAGATACACTATGTGAACATTACTCCTTTGGTGCTTTCTCCCCTCATTTTATTTTGGTTAGGGTTTGGGGTACCTAAGTCTGTGTTCTCTATTTGACAAGAAGCACGTGAGATCAGGATTCCTCTGTGGACCATTGCATTGTCCCACACGTAGCAGCCACTCTCTAGCTGCAGCGCACCTGGATCTCCTGTCTTTCCATCCCTGGTGCAGGGCTGTCTTCCCTTCGCCTTCTCCCATCCATGGAGCGTCTCCCAAGACACAGTGGCAGTTTCTTCATAGCCTGGTCTTGCCTGCAGCCTTTCAAGTGCTGCTCTCTCCCTTCACAACATTGCTGTTTTTCCTGAACCCGTTGCTTAATGAGCAACCAATTTTAGCTTCTTAAGTCTCTGTAGCTTCCAAGGTCTGACAGCTACTGTTTACTTCTGAAGTCTTTTCCAAATAGCTCAAAAGAACCAAGTGTCCATTCTCCAGGAGTGGAAGTCTTGAAGCAGCTGTGCCTCACTGCGGCTTGTTGTGTGTCAGGTCCTGCAGCCGACAAACATGGTGCCCATCCACCTGGTCTCTCCTTAAGTTACCTTTTCACCTGTGTCTCAATAGTAGCCTCACCCAATTTTCTTCACCTGAAAAATTCCAACAACTCTACCCAGACTCCTCAGTTTCTCTTCCAGATGCTTCTTGCCCCTTGGAATAGGGAAAATCAGTTGAATTATTTCTCACTCTCTTATTTTCCTGTGACTTCCAATCCTCACAGCTGGCCCATCATAGACAACTTTTTTCTTTCTTGCCTCCAGCTGTCCTTCCCTCTTGTCTTCTTTCTTTGCTTCTCTTCTTGTAGGAACTGTCGAAACCATTCTTGTCTCTGGCCCCTCCTTGCCATCCGCACCGGCCCCATCACCAGCTTCCGTGTTGCCACCCCTTGGTGCTGTGCCTGTCCCTTACCCTGTGTCCATAGCTAATTGTTCCCTAAAGGGCCCTTGTGCTGGCCACGCTGCCCACCCAGAGCTGCTCTGTCTTGCGCTGTCTTACACCGACCCTCGTGGTGGCTTGCATTTTTGTTTGCTTTTGTAAGTATTAATGACTCTAATCAGTCTCTTCCATCCTAAATTTGTTTGTGTTTTGTATTTTAGCGAGAATATAAAAAGGTGTTCGAGGAGAACAAAGGTGCATACCATTTCGACGCTGATGCCTCAGATCACCTGCACCACAGAGGCAACGCCACCCTCCAGAGTCAGGTATGCGCCCACCGGGCCCCCGGAGGACCCTGCCACCCTTGTGACACCCACTGCTGCCCTGCTGTGCACCTCACCTGGGAAAGTGCAGTTGCTGAAAGGAATAGATCCTGAAATGCCGCTTCAGGAAACCTCAGGATCATTTCCTGTTCATGGGGTCAGAAAAGCTTGGCCTGAGTTTTAATTCAAAGGCATTCCATAAAGTAACAGTTACTTCACAGAATTAAAAACTTCTAGTGTAGGAGTTAAACTACGGTCAAAGCCCACGATTTAAATCTGACTCGTTATTTTGAGCTGCAAAATTTTCTAGTTGCAAAGTTTATTGTTCATGTATAAGTGCTACTGAAAAGGGAAAACAATCTTGCCAGTGTGTGCTAAGTTAATGTTACTTGCAACTATGAAATCCTATGTACCTTAGAAAAGACTCTTTAAAGATATCTTCCTATCATACTTTAAAGCTTTTAAATTCTGAGTTTAAATAATTGCTAAAGATGCCGTATCTAGCATCTGTTAAGACAAAAATTTACACGACTCTTTAAAATGTATTCTTTGAAGAAACATAATTTTATGCCTACCTTCATTTATTTAAAAAAAATATAAAATAGCTCCCCTTTAATGTTTGGAAATATACATTTTAATCTCTTTAATTTAAATTATTTTTATTTCATTTTTTCTTCCACCAAGCTTTACCCTAAAATAGTTTGCTGTTATACTTCCAACACTTTTTTTTATTAAGTTTATTGGTACATTTTAGGTATAAAATACAGTTACATTCATCATTGGGATCTTGTACCATGACATGATGCATCTTGGTTCTTATTTTTTTCCCCTTCCCCTGCCCTCCCTTCACCCCCTCCACCCTTCCCTATTTACAAGGCTTTGTTTCCATTTTATTCCTTTTCTCATATTTTTTCTTTTCCCTTCTTTCCTTTTACTTCCAACACTTTTGATGGTCATTCTATCATACTTTTCTGCAACAAAATACATCTACTAATGGATACTTTAAAGTTATTCATATTTCCTGTCATCTCAAAGTTCTAAGTATTAAAAACTTCCTTTGGGTTAAATTATCTTTAACATCCTCATTATTATAAAACTTGAAATGTACTTTCATGAGGTTATTCTACCTAAGAATTTTAGTGAAAATGCATTTCTGGATAAAGTGAATCTTGATCACAATTAATTTAATTTAAATAGGTTTATTGCCAAAACGTCAACCACTCTGAAGGCTAACATATAATTTTAGGTTTTGTTTTTACATAGAAAATCTCACTCATTTTATAAACTAAGATGTGATGAAGTTGGCCATAATTGAAATAATAATTCACAATATGATATTATTAAGTAATATCATAGTGTGCATAGTAAAAAGAAAAGAAATCACATAAAAGGTCTGTCCACATTTTATTCAGTGCCTTATAGAAAAACATAGCAGTTCTTTCGACAGAGAGATAGAAGATCATACCTGTATTTTCTTACTAGGATCCTTCCCTCCCTCTCCTTTTCCAACATTACCCCTTCAAACATATATCTTGTTAGACACCTGGAATATGTACATTCTTATCATATATATGTATATGCACTGTATTACTTGACAAGGTATTTCATATAGTCCTTTATGCAACTACATTATTTAGTTGTTCTAAGTTACTTTTATCCCTCAAAAAATTTTATGTTTCACCCAGTTACTTCCTTCGTGTGTCATTAACCTCAGGGAACTCAGTGATCACCCTAAATAGCTCGAATAACTTGGTTTCAGAAAACAGTATGACTCATTTTGGACACATTTATTTTACTTTGAACTGTATATGGGCTTTTGATTTTTTAGTATGTTTTTCTTTCTTTTCATTTTCTCTTTTGGTTCTGGAGTTGAACCCAGGACTTCACACATGCTAAGCACACACTCTTATCACTGAGCTACACCCCAACCTTCATTTTTATGTTCTTTTAATGTTTCTTTCAATGAAGGTTAAATATAAAGAAGAATATGAGAAAAATAAAGGGAAGTCAATGCTTGAATTTGTTGAGACTCCATCATATCAAGCTTCAAAGGAAGCCCAAAAGATGCAAAGTGAGGTAGGTCGCTGGGCTTGTCATCAGTTAACTGCTTCCTGTGCACAAGATGTTTTGTCATTCGAAAGTGGTTGAGAATGTTTAGTGGGTCTAGAGGGAAAAGCACAGTTCTGGACAGATTCAGGAACCTACATTCTAGACCTGGTGCCCACTGCCAGGGTCTTGTTCAGGACTTTGACATCAGTCTTAATTTTTCTCATTTGGTAAATATGATTATCAAGCCAGATGAGCTCTTAACGTCTTTCTTAATCATGATTCCATGATTATAGAACTGACATTTTCAGATTGTACCGCTGTAAAACTATGGTGAATACCTAAATGCTAAAAGAAAATGAAGAGCTGTTTGCTTTATCTTTTTCCTTCTTACAATAATAGTAGACCCAACATTTATTAAATGCTTATTCTATGCTGGGTAATATACTAAGAGCCTTTTATATGCGTGCTCACTTAATCTTCAAAGTAATGGCACTAGGAAAGTATTGTTCTCTAGGTTTATGATATATCCAATGAAATTAATTCTATTAAATAAAATTACATATCTAGTAACTGCCAGTGCTTTAAGATGGAGTCAAAATCACGCACAATTCCTTTTTTCTATGAACTTATTTAATTGATTTCTTTTTCTTTCTCAGTGAATAGTTGAATTTTTTCCCTGCTTACTTTGTTCTTAACCTAAGATAATGCTGAGTTACATCCAGATATTCCTCAGACTGGGTTTTCTCTGTCTCAGTGAGATTTCTTCTTCTCTTCTATTTTGGGGACCAGGCATACAGGTATAAGGTTTCCTCAATAGCAAAATCCAAATTCTATGGAAATACCTGCATTATTGCTTCAAAAGGGCAGAAATAATGGTAGCGACCAGGTGGGTGTGCTCAATGGCCAGGCCTTTTTCCAGTAAAAAGATCCAATGCCTGGGGAAATGATGACATCTGGACAAAACCTTTCATGGAGACTTTGTCAGCATTTGCTAGTTGTTGAGCTGTTGTACTCATCTTCAGACACCCCTGAGGCGTGTCGGGGGGAGACATCACCCTTGTCTTCCACAGGGTGCCCCCGGCTCCTGTCTCTGTTCCTCTCTTCCCTTTGTTGATCTCTGGCCACAGAAATGTTCATGCTGAGGACCCTTTGAGCATTCTCATCCTGTGGTTCCTTCTTTTTTCTGCACTCTAAGCAGTTAACTGTCCTCCCGCCCACAAACCCTGAACCTTACCTCACACAGTTCACGGTCAATTCACCCTGATGCCATGTTTCTGAGTTCAAAATGATTATAATTCATGATTTTGGATTTTAGCGCCACATCTCTTGTGATAGTCTCTGGCTTTTCTTCACTCAGTTGATTCTTCCCTGCCGCCAAGTGAGACGTCTTTTCCCTTTAATTAGTGTCATAAGTGTTAGATTTTTTTAGGGTCCTCAGTTATCCCCCTGCTCTGTAGGGTTGGGGGAGAGCAAACTCTCGCAGTGGCAAATATCTTTGGACCAAACTTATCCTTTGAAGGCTAGAAAAACAAAGTACCTATCTTATGAAAAGTTTGCCATGGAAATGCCTTTAAATATGGGACCAAGGCAGTGACATAGAGGAGTCCGCTGTCACACAGCTGGTTGCCACTCCTCAGAGGTAGGCTTGACTCTGCATTTCTTGTGGAGTTTCCTCTGAGTAAAGCTAAATATTTATACTCTCAGGAAAAGCCGCCAGAGTCTTTGCTGTGGCCTTTCTTTGTGCTAATCGCACTTGCTTCTAATGCTAGATGTAGGTTTAGTCCTTGAGTTTGTTTTTTAGAAGAAATTTCTAAATCTGTTCTTGAAAAGTTTTCATCTTCCCTTTCACAAATGTAGCTCTTCTAGCAAAAACTTAGCGAGGATTTTTTCATTTTTTTTCAAACTCTCCATTGGCTAGTTCCAGTCATAGTTGACTTTCCTTAGTGACTTACTTCAGTAATTTTTTCAGTGTTAAGTGCTTTTTGAAGTAAAATATCAAGCATAAATAAATAAATGCGCAAACGTATATATTTCACTTTGTAGAGTCCCTTTAGCCTAGAAATGGCCTGAATTCAGCCTTATAACTATTATCTAGATCAGTTCCAAATTTAAAAAAGGAAAGTTTTTCATTTTTGTTCTTGGGATTTATATAGTTCTTTAATTTGGAAGCCTCCAGTGCAATTTCCCAATTAGATTTATAGGATACTCATTGTTGCTATACACAAATGCTAAGGGAGGAGAAGACATGCTTCTCGTTCTCATGGTTTGGAGAATTTCTTTATCCATGTAATTACCTTTCTCTATAATAAATACATAGTGAACCTAGAATAGCTTCTCACTTTGTGTGAATAACCATCTCATTCAGGATTCATTTATTTTTATCGTCTTCATGATGTAATTTGAATAAGGTATTTGGCTAGTAAATTTGGCCCCTGTTTAGTAAATATTTCACACAAGTGGATATTTTTATGATTTAGAGAGACTGTGTTTTTAGTCACAATTTTCAAAGGCATAGATAGCCCCAATGCTAGAATTTCGAGAATCTTAGCTAAAGGGTGTCAGGCAGGTGAAGGGTAGATGTTGTCATGGTGCCAGCCCTTCCACACTGCCAGCATCCCCTTTTCATTTCTGGTGGTGAACGCTCATCTAAAGAAGGATTTATCCAAGCCAAATGTGGTAATTCCAGAACTCTGGTAGGCCGAGCCAGGGGGATTGATCACAAGGTTGAGTCTCGCCTGAGAAACTTAGTGAAACCGTGTCTCAAAGTAAAAAATAGAAATGGCTGGGGATATAGCTCAGAGAGAAGGTGCCAAGGCCCTGGGTTCAATCCCCAGTACCACGGGGTAGGGGTAGGAGGCTGATTTACCAGGTTCAAAACAAGATCTTCCTTACAGTGTACCTGACTCATGTCAAATTCCTTAATTCGTAGAGAGATTCTCAATGCCAAAATTATTAAACAAATATTACTATGCCTCCCCCAATTCCCCTCCATTGCATTTTAGAAATGGTGTTTCCTGAATTCATAAAAGAAGGATGATGAGAAGGATGAAGGCACTGTGACCATGAATGCTACATTGATTTAAGTGGATCTCATTGCCCTGGATGTTCTTCCAGGGGGTGGATCTACTTCCTTTGGAGTGAGCCAATCAGATTATCCAATCAAATAGCCATGCTGGTTCCTGCCCTAGAATGGGGTGATGTTAATCAGGCTAGTAAGATGCTAAGCTGCTTCCTGTAGAATGATTTATCAGAGGGGCGTGATGATCCTTGATGTTTCTGCTTCTATTTGGCAGAATCTTGAAATTTAGGATTAAGTTGGAATCATTTTCTAGTGGATAAGACTCTGAGATGGTGGAATTATATAACAAAATGTCCATTTGTTCTAGGAACTCTTGCTCTCATATGTTTTCTTTTTAAAATTTTAAAATTTTTATTAATAGTTGTTTACAGTATATAATGTTTACATTACTTGGGTAGAGTTAGTACATGTACTTAATATATCCTAATTCCTTTTTTCATTCCCTTTCCCCCTTCCTCTCCTCTCCATTTCTTTATTCCCTTCCCCATTGAGAAAGATCCATCTCCTTACATCCTGTTATCTATCTTTTATTTTGCTCTTTATTTATATTTTGGGTTTCTCATATAAGTGAAACCATGCAATATTTAAGCTTGTGTGTCTGATTTATTTCACTTAACATTATGGTCTCCAGGTGCATCCATTTTCCTACAAGTGATTCAATTTATCCTTCTTTATGGCAGAGTAGTGCTCCATCATGTATAAATACCACATTTTCTTTATCCATTCGTCTGATGATGGACATATAGGCTTCTTCCAGGATTCAGCTATTAGTAGCTGCTATGAACATGGGTGTGCATGTATCACTGTAATGTGATATCTATAACTCTTTTGGGAAGATGTTTTCAATAGTCACTAGGATTTCCTGTATTTCAAATGATATTTTGTCATTTCACAGAAAGTTTACAAACAGGATTTTGAGAAGGAGATTAAAGGAAGGTCTTCACTGGATTTAGACAAGACTCCTGAATTTTTACATGTAAAGTACATCACCAACCTTCTGAGGGAGGTAGGCTCTTACTATTTTCTATTAAATAGCATAAAAAGAAATCTAAAGCAATAACCCAGGAAATATTTACTGAACAATTCTCTGCTAATTGAGTGTTTGAAATATTAACTTTTACCCTTTCAAGTGTGTGTTGACACATCTATTTAAAGTTAAGGGAAGAAATTATCTAAGTTTTTTGGGAAAACTTGAAAAATGTGGTTTTCATCTTTTGATTATAGCTCAGAAGCTGTATAAGCATTGTGTTAATAACATCATAGCATTAGTTTTTAAAAAATATATTTTGAATATAGGTGGAGCAAATGATTCTTTCAAATTTAGTTACTATAAAAATATATTAGAATCAGGTTGTTTAGTAGCTTCCCTGCACATTGTTAAGACATTTGATATCAGAAATGAGGTGCTCCCATGAGAAAGTCTGGAGCAATGGTATTATTATTATGTATAAGTCCTAATATGGGAAAATTATGTAATTAACACATAGAACTAAGGAACTCATGTTCATTTTTCATTTCATTCTTTCTCCCCAAACATAATGATGGATTTTGGATCAGAATTAATGTATTGAATTTGTTGAACATTAAGGTCGTCAAACTTGATGATTAAAAATATCATGCCCGTGGTCCATCCCTTTTAAATGTTTTTTTTTTTCTTTTTTGTTACTGGGGATCGAACTTGGGTTCTTGTGCTTGCGCAGCAGGCGGCAAAACCACTGAGCTAAATCCCTGGCCCAGTGTGTGTGTGTTTTTTTAAATGGCTGAATAGTAACCTCGAGCTCTTCTAACTCTGCTTCAATAGGAAGTAGTCCCTGAATATAATTAGGATCATAATAATGGGATAAATATAATGAAATAATTATATATCAAACAAATGGAGCATATGTTTTAAAAATAGAAAGTGAAATTCCACTTCAGGTGAATTTTTGAGCCAAAAAAATGATTCCTGAATGAAGTGTCTTCAATCAGCGAAATAAATTAAAGCATAATTTCTACGGAGAAGAGCATCAGTAGGAACTTGTTTAATAAACAAATGCCAGGTACCATGGCCAGTACCATGTCTCTGGGCTTAGACCTTGAACATGAGCCACTGTTGTAATGGCGCCTCCCTGAATAGGCATGCAATTTCTGTAAGATTGCTCTTGCTCCTCTATTTTTTTCACTCCTAGTTTCAATAATTTTTTTTTGAAATTGAAGACAAATTAGATGGCAACTTCCTACTATTGCTGCCTTTCCTTTAAAAAGTATGTGCTGTTCACATGAATTTTTAAAGGGGTGTCTTATGATTGACACACAAATGGCAATATAAGAACTATTTTGAGATCCATAAATGACTAATATATGCCATTGCCCTTTTCTTCTATTCCTCTTGTTTAAGGGGGAGAAATATGACTAATTATCTGAAAATGAATAATAGAAGAGTAATAATGCTAACAATTTTTCCATTAAACAAAATATAGCAAGATTAAGTTGATAACAATGTGAATTTACTGATTCAGTAAAATAGATCTACGGAATAAGATTATTGTATTGGCCTGCTAGAGGCTGCTATAACAAAATACCATGGACTGGGTAGCTTAAAAACAGACATTTCTCATAGTTCTGGAGACTAGAAAGCTCCAGGTTAAGGTGCTAGTGGACTGGTTCCTGGTGAGGTCTCTCTTGCTGGCTTGCCAGCTGCCTTCTTGCTGTGTCCTCATAGAAAGAGAACTTTGTTCTCCTCCAGCTGAGCCAGCAGTCCCATCATGGGGGCCCACACTCAAAGCCTCACTCAAACCTAATCATCTCCAAAGGCACCTCTCACCCCCAAAATACCATTACATTGGTCGTTAGGGCTTCAACATATGTCTTCTGTGGACATGAACATTTAGTCCATACCAACTGTGATTTAAAATCTTTAATTAAATTATAGAGATGTCTAACTTTAAAATCAGGCACTTGGTGTTTTAATGAAGTTAAAACTTCACTTTCTAAGTGTAAGCGTTGAGCGGTAAGTGGACATTACTTTCCTTACTTTATGGCTTTTACATTTACATTGCCACTTAGAGTGTCCAAAATATCATTTTATTCTTAATTTCACTTGATTCCTTCTGTTGGTCTTTGACATTGGTAGAACACACATTTTTATTTTCATCTTTTAAGATGAAAATCAAGGCTGAGTCATATGACTAGGTAAATGAGAGAGCTTTGTCACCTGGCTCATTTGACTCAGAGCTGTTTCCGTGATGCTGGGCAGACCATGACTGTGAATAATAAGGTAGTAGTCGAGAAGGGAACGGGCTAATTTAGTTAACATAAGACAAAAGGGAAATGCACGAAATGCATTCTCCAATTAACTGGAACCTGATTTCTTATCATTAAAAGGAATTTCATCTTCCATCTGGCAAACAAGTCATAAATGAAACTTAGTTTAATGGGAAGAAGAGACTATTTTATAGTGCAATTAAGTAAGATAACAAGCAACTCATGACTAGAAAATAGTAAGTTCTATAGAAGCATTTGTCAGGCATTTGGAGCTACTTGAAATATAATTTTAAAAAAGGAGAGATTCAAAGTATGTATTATCAACCTGTGGGAAATTATTTGGTTTTACAAATCTTTGACTAAAATGGAAAGTTAAAAAAAAAAACTTTGGCCACAGCAATCCTTTTAATTTTGTAATTTTCCATTCTTTTCTAACCATATTCTTTTGCTAATTCCCATTTAACAGACAATTTAAATACTTGAAATAAGCAATGGCATGCAGTCTTAAGATCTTCTTTGCCATATAGAGGAAAAACGTCTTTTTCTGAAATGCATGGTGGCTCTAAAACATATTGGGAGAAAGCATAAAGAGAAAAGACTGGTAATATTAGATGCCGCTCTGAATTTGACAGAGGAGAAAATGAAATTTCTGTGAGAGATAAGCATGAATATCCAGCAGTCTAATTCCTTCCTTCCTAGTGATAACTTCTGTCTGCAATCTCTAGAAAACACATAAAATAGTTAATTTCTGGTAAGCTTTGAATGGTCATATTCTTATCTTATAGAAAGAATATAAAAAAGATTTGGAAAATGAAATAAAAGGGAGAGGAATGGAACTTAATTCAGAAGTTCTGGATATTCAAAGAGCAAAACGAGCATCTGAAATAGCAAGCGAGGTGAGTAAACTTACTTAACTTACAGTGTACACATTTTCAGTTGATTTCCTTATCAGTAAACATTCTGCAAAGTTTATATAATCAACTATGTCCTAGTGGTAAATAGTCTTCTCCCAGATGATGAATTAAAAATAAATCAGTGCTCATAATCTACTTTCTATGTAGTATGAGAAAAACGACCATTGCTCCATCTTCGGGAAAATCTGTATAACGTGCCCAAACAGTTTTATGAGATTTGGCTTGATCTCTCAGCAAGTAAGAAGCTAAAGACTAGGAAGGTCTGCTGTCGGGATCGGTCTCTCCTAGTGGTGGGAAAGTTCATGCCATCCTGCTCTCAGCAGACCACTCCCCGTCCTCATCCTCGCCTAGCTGCTCCATTAAATCTCTTCATCTAAGGAGAGTGGCCACCTCTCACTTTCTGTGAAATTTTTAAGAAGAAACGAAATGTCTCCGAAGTGCTTTCAGTCTCTTTAATCCTTGTATTGTGCCATTATTTTGGTATCAGGTAATGGCACCATGCTTTGAGGAGAATCTAGCTGAATTTAGCAGTCAAAAAGCTTACAGCCTTGTCTCCGTGTGTTGCATTGTAGTGATGATGACGAGGAGGATAGTAATGATGACAACCCTTTTAATTAGGTACAGAAGCCAGTTTGGACTGGGTTATGTGACAAAGGAATATGTTAGTTGACAGAGTAGAAAAGTCCAAGATCCAGTTTCTTTCTGGTGCTCAAATGAAATCCCTCTTCCTTCATCTGGCAGTTCTGTTGTCCTCTCTGTTCACTCTTGGCTGGTGGCTGCCATGAGATCACCCCAGAATAACTCTTTATCTATGGCCACTTACCCCAGGGAAGTGAGTGTCTGGCTTATGGAGTCCCAGCAAGGGTCCTAGGATTGAGTCTGCTCAGATCCACTCTGTTCCATGCTCACCACTGACCCAGTCTTTGGGTCTGGGATCAGAAGAGTGCAGTGTGATGATGGCCTCTCGTGTGAGCCATGGTTTAGTTAACTTCCTAAGTTGTTTAACAGTGTCCCAAGTACAAAATTCTCTACATTTATGTGTACTTTAAAAAAATCATATTTATCTTGGCTGTCTTTATACTCTTTAAATAAAGGAAAGATTTTAAAAGCATTTCAGTGGAATTAAAAACACATGCCGGAAAGCCTGGTGGAGTGGTGCACACCTGTAATCCCAGCGCTTTGGGAGATTGAGCGCAATCTGGACAGATTGGTGACTTGGCAAGACCATGTCCCAAAATGACGGGGG